ATTAGAGAGCAAGAAATCAGGCTTGATTAATATTTAGACACAAACCCATCACCCATCTCTTCTCAGCACCAGTGGCTGCTAAATACTTGGGTTAAAGAAGTAATCCATGTATATAAATTTGACCTTAGATGAATCAACAACATCTCTACTTGTCAGTTTCATTTCATTTGTAAAATGAGGGGGATGGATTAAATAACCATTTGTTCTCACCAGTCCTATTTCAAAAATGTACAGAGACATTTTCTATTTAATACTTTCCACTTAAGAACTTTCATGGATATGATGAGTAAAACTACAGTACAGAGTAGCAGCACCTGAACTCTGTTTTCCACTGGCAACACTGATTTTGTAGTTATTTTCATCTCATTATTATAGTACCTACAATTAATTTGCTATGTTTGTGCTACTTCATATTGGAGCTATTTTATATACACCTCAGAGCTAAAGATAAAGCAAAAGGTGTCAAGAGTTATTAAGAGAAGGCATACACAAAACAATGAATGACAGAGTAAAAAAAAATAGAATTAATGCTTCATATATGTCTTTGATAAAGATTGGACCAGAGAAAGCGTTCTGAAGGACAAAGAGCAAAGCCTGCTGTAGAGAAAAGTACTTTGACCTTGCAATCAAGAAAATACAAAGACTGATAAAATGTCCTATTATATGGTATGAAAATCTAACTGCTTATTAGTACCACCTGGAGCTTAAAAAGCCATCACTGCCCAGAAATTTGGATTGAACTGGTCTAGGCATCCGTAGTTTCCTAAAACTCCCTGAATTTTTTTTTTTTCTTTTTTTGAGATGGAGTTTAACTCCGTTGCCCAGGCTGGAGTGCAGTGCCATGATCTTGACTCACTGCAACCTCTACCTTCTGGTTCAAGCGATTAGTCTGCTTCAGCCTCCCAAACAGCTGGGACTAAAGGCACATGCCACCATGCCCAGCTATTTTTTTTTTTTTTTTGTATTTTTAGTAAAACGGGGTTTCACCATGCTGGTCAGGCTGGTCTTGAATGCCTGCCTCAGCCGCCTGGAAGTTTTTATTTGCAATCAGTATTAAAAACTTTGTTAGAGAAGATCAGTACCCACATCAGATTCCTATCTGTCTAATGCAGTGGTTATCAAAGTGTAGTTCATGGAACCCTTTCATAGGTTCATGAGGTGGGAACTATTTTTATAATACTAAGATACTTGCTTTTCAACTGTGATGCCGTTTTCATGCATCACATTTTCATGGGTGATGCAAAAGTAATACTAGCAACAGAATTATTGTCTAAACTGCTACTGCCTCACCCACTCCGGACATATAAACTTTGCTTTTCTTCTTAAAATTTTTGTGCAATTAATGGTATTGTTGCATAGTAGAAAGGGCACAGTATTTGGTGACAAATCTGTTCAGTTTAAATCTTAACTTTGTTATTTATAAGCAGCATAATCTTGGGCAAGACACTTAGCACTCTGCAGCCGTTTCTTCATATGAAATATATGGCCAATAAGTCTTTAATAAAACCTTGTATGTGAAACACCTGTCAGAGTAGGTGCTTAACCAATATAGTAAGCCCTCACTTAAGGTCATCCATAGGTCCTTGGAAAATGCAACTGTAAGCCAAAAGATGGGTAACAAAACCAATTTTACTATAGGTGAATTGATATAAACAAGAGTTAAGTTCTGATGGCATATTTCTGGTCACAAAAACATCACCAAACTTCCAAATAAATATCAAAACACTTCTGATATTAAACTCTGAAATAAATGTGAGTTATACATTTACTTAAGAAAGATTAATAAAAACAAGTACGATAACTGGCTATTCACCCACCATTTCAGTTCAGTGTTGAAGGTGCCAAGAGCCATCCCAGTAGCTTGGAGTATGCAAGGTCATTCCAGTGCAGAGCACTCAAACTGGGAGAGTGTAGACACCTCAACAAACCTAATGTATATATCTTTCGGATGGCGGGGTGGAGGGAACTGGAGTTCCCAGAGAAAATCCAGTAAGACATGAGAAGAACAGACAAGAAGACAACGTGCAAAGTTCACACAGGAACTGGGAATGGAGTTTCTTCCTCATAAATGTTATCAAAGATCTGCTGTATTTCTTTCCTGCCCAATAAATCATCCAAGCTGGAGCTGTGCTTCATCACCCTTCACTAAGTACCTTCAAAATCATTTTCATAGTTTTCCTTTCCTTTCAACCCAACTGCTCATCAGAGTTGAGACATTCAATCATCGTATAACTGAATTACTGTACTTGTTTTCAAGCTGGTCTCCCAGAGTCTAATCTTTCTCCATTTAAATATACTCTCTCCACGTTGTTAGCAGTTGGTTTTCTAAAATGCACACCTTTTATTTCACTGCTCCAAAGCCTTTATCAAGTAAGCAATTAAATATCATCAAAATACAGTCTTTGGCATGGCACAAAGCTCTTCCAAATCTGGCCCCAATCTTTCTAGCCTCACATATCACCAGTCTACTACACTTTTTATTCCTGCCACATTGAGACTTCATGCAACTATTGAACTTCATGCCTTTTGTTTCCGTAACTGCCATTTTCTTCCTCTATGGGACAGGGACTGCTGTCCCACCTCTAGCGAATGACTTCTTCCCAAATACTCAATCTTTAAAATGCAGGTGAGAGAATTACTTTCTTTCTTTGGGACATCTCCCAAGCAGTTCCCAGCCAATACTATCCCTTCCACTGTGTTTAATTATTTTCTACATATCTTCTGCTTTGAGGGAAAATATTTCACACCTATTCTCTGAGATTCAGTTTAATTATGAAATGTGAGCAGTCATTCCTACTTTGCAGAGTTTGTGAAAATCACTTAGCACCACAAGAAGACATGAAAGTAAACTCCCTTACAGTTAACCAAGTAAAGGATGGGAAGTAGGAATGATTCTAACCCTGTTTGGCTCAGTCTAAACCCATGCTCTTTCCACTACATGCTACATCATAGCAGACAATAGATGGAATTTACTTATTTAATAATCTCCCGCACTGGACTGTGAAATCCTTGAAGACACGGAGCATGTTTGTGTCTCCAGACTCTTAATGGAACACTAACTATAGTTAGCACTGTGAATGTAGATTAAAAGACTTAGTCTCTAGGAACTCTGCCTAGAGAGGGAGAAATGTTGGCAACAGCCCTCCGGTTGGGCTTGTTATTGCTGTTTTCTGTGAAAAGGGTTATGCTAGAGGGATACTGGAGGCATACATTAGGGACTAGGAATATCCCTATAGATACTTAAAGAGAGTAGAAGAAAATAGAAGGGGTCAAGGGAGGCTTTTTGGAAAGAGATGAGACATGAGAGGAATACTGAAGGATGCTACCCCTTACGCAGGAACAAGGCATTCTGAAATTCTTTAAAAGTATGAATTCACAAGAGCTACAATTACTGTTCATGCTGATAGTTGTAAATTATTACTGCTGATAAACATTTTGTCCTTGAAAGCCTTTTTATAAAGATTCTTTACAATACAGTAATCCAGGTTTATTAAGTCATTACCATTGGGTTACCTCACAAATAAACCAAGTTTAGGTGCAAACTCAAAGATACTGAGACACTAATCCATTTCTTAAACTGCTAAGTTAGCCTTCTTGAAACCTCACTTCATAGCTCTGCCAACAGCAATGTACTTCTGACATCCCAAGCTCACAGGAATTAAAACCACCTGGCAGTTGTTTCTGTTTTCTACCTATATCTGATTTATATATACATATGTATAAAGAACAAATCACTAAGACTTATTTTATCCTCAGTTATGTTGTGTTTCTATCAGCAGGAACGTTTCTGGCACTAAGTTTGAGTCCTGGCTTTACAATCCACTAGGTGTGTGATCCGAGGCAAGTCAGTCTCTTCGTGTTTCACTGTTTTCACTTGTAAACATCTACTTAGAAGCTGTTGTGAACTTGATATTTCCATGCTTATAAACTGATTTTTTGAACGGAGCCTGGAACATAGGACATGCTAATAAGAGAAAGTATTTGCTCCTTTTGGAAAAAGTATCACAAGGTAGTTTATATACTTCTGATCTTAAGCACAGTATATGCATCTTGTTTTTAGCTAGTCGATGTGACAGTGAGATGATAAAAAGTTATCTTTGACTTGCACTACGAGTAAAATAATTCAACTTCGTGTTCCAGAAAGATGTAAAAGAATTAAGAATGACAGTCTTCCTAGACTCAACTGCCGTTTTCTCCATCAGGTGGTAAACTCATCCAGAGAAGAGACTGACTTACTATTATATGGGATTCTGCAGCAACTTCTGTGAACCATAGGCTCATCATTTTTCACACGGAGACTCAAGCTTTTTGGAGTCACAGTTGTTTTTGAGTCTACTTGCAGCCATGCATCTTTTGCCCAGAAATATACACAACATTTGGCACATGGACTTGGAGGTAAAACAGGAGCCTGAGGCTACACATCACTCCAGTAAGTATATTAAGCTCTTAGAAAAGCAATCCACCTTTGCAGAGAAGTCTTAAACCTAAAGCTTGTAAAGTAGCACCTTCAAAGTGGAGAGAAAGACGTGGGAGAGGCCCTGAGGGGCTACTGACTGAACAGATGAAAATGAAGATACGGAGGTGGGTGCCAAAGGAACCTCTCCCTCAAAATCAAACAGTAACACCAGAGTCAGGCACCGAGGGCGAGATAAGGAGATGCAAGAAAACAAGCGGAAACTCGAGAAGCTCTAATGCCTCTAAGGATCGATGACCACGGAAAATCTACGTAGCCAACCAGTTATGACACACCAAGGCATTTTTTTTTTTCTAAACAAAGTAGGAAAGCTGCCTTTGCTTGAGGGACGAGCTCCGCGACCCAGGAGTCTTCCTTGGACAGTCCATCCCGACTCTCTCTGGTTGGTCGGGCAGTGACCGCGTGGCTCCACAGCCTCTCAGCCCCGGGCCCACACACCACGGGCTGCCGCACAACCTCTAGCCCTAGACCAGATCCACAACCCCGTCCTGAAGCTCACCCGCGACCCAGCAGCCCCACTTCTTACCATAGCGAGGCCGGCGGTGCCGCAGCCACATCACCCTTCCGGGCTCCAGGCGGAAGAGGTTGCACGCTCCGTCTGCCCTTCTAGCCCTCTCCAGCCCTCCGGTTGGGCTTGTCATGGCACCTCCTCCCAGGCCGCGCGATTAGGGAGCTAGGATAGGCTCCTCTCCACCGGAAAAGGCGGGATCTAGAACACGTCCTGCAGGCCGGCGGAAGTAGCTGATGCTCTCATTGGTTGCAGGACGTTGATCTGAGAAAGCGGGCGTTTCGGAAGAGACCGGAAGTGGAGTCACGAAGAGGTAGGGTCCGGAAGTGGGGCTGCTGCTTTGACAAAAATCTGCTGGTCTGTTCTTTTTATCTTTTTTCTTTCTTTTTTAAAAAATCCCACGCTATTTACCCCTAGAACTCCACAGTGAGAGAATCCACCTCAATTTGTGAGCGCCTGCGCTTTCCTCTTGTGAGCTTTTGGGGATGCTAGGGTTCCCGAAATCATCCTCAGGGTGCGCACCTACCTGTTCACCCCCATTTCAGTTTCTCCATTTTCGTCTGGGGGATTCTTGGGAATGCGAAGCACTTTTGAAATGCCCTGTGTTGGTTGTGGAATTGGGAGGACAGTTGAATCCAGAGGGTAGTGTTGAGTAGGTTGTTTGACGTTGGCCTGTCCTCTCAATCCCCAGATTTTGATAAACTGTGGGTTCCCTCCAGGCATCGGGGGCTGAAACGTACTAAGCTCTTTGGAGTCAGGAAAGAACTTTCTGCGGTAACCAATGGGAAGGACTGCCCTTTAGGGAGCGCAGCAATTGATTAGGTACTTTAAAGAGATCAACTGGCAAGACAAATGACAAGCCAATGTGTAATCAGTAGTAGTATTTAGCTTTTTCTGATTTTAATTATTCCATTAGGTGAGGTTCTATTACACACACACACACACACACACACACACACACACACACACACATTTTTCTTGCTGCATTTTATAGATGGAGAAACAGGCGCTTTGATGTGTTTGTGTTTGCATAGTTCTTGTTACTCTAATAATTAAAAGGGAGAGTTTTTCACTCTTTGCCCCCTAATGGCAACCTTTTGGCGCTTAATATGTGGTGTATTTTTTCCCAGGCAGCAGAGGGTTCTTTTCAGAATGTCATCAATTTTTTATTTATTGACTTTGAAGGTGGATAGAGAGAGAAGGTAACTCACGTGAGATGTTGGTTTATGAGCTGTATACAGCCTATGAGACTTTCTGTATTAGGGCAACACAATGATTAGAAGATTCGGGATTCTGCTATTTGTGTTTGCATTGTTCGCTCAGGCACACAAAGTTTATTTATTTATGTATTGAGACAAAGTCTCGCTCTGTCGCCAGCCTGGAGTGCAGTGGCACCATCCTGGCTCACTGCAACTTCTGCCTCCCAGGTTCAAGCGATTCTCCTGTCTCAGCCTCCCGGGTAGCTGGGACTACAGGCGCACGCCACCACACCCAGGTAATTTTTGTATTTGTAGTAGAGACGAGGTTACACCATTTTGGCCAGAATTATCGCAATCTCTTGACCTCGTGATCCACCCGCCTCAACTTCCTAAAGTGCTGGGATTACAGGCGTGAGCCACTGCGCCTTGTAAGGTTTTGTTTTAAACTATAACTAAAAAAAAAAAAAACAAACAAAAAAAAGAAAAAAGATAAACTATAACTAACTTGATATTTGAGTATGTTATATTGACTTGTCAAGAGTTGGTCAAATAAACAAATTGGCAAGTATTTACTGGGTGCCTGCTTTATTCAGGGGTCTTGAGATTGCAGCATAGGAACAAAGATGGTCTATTCCTTTAAGGAATTTAATAAGGATGGGGGAGAGGGGAATAAAAAATACAGTACTCTCTACGTGAGGGAGAAAAAAGTCTTTTAATGTTCTGTCTTATAGTTCCTTTATATTGTACCTTTTAAGTCTTGCCATTCAAATTAAACAAACCTGGTTTAGTTATGGAAATTATGTTATGCAACTTATTGAGCTTGGCTTTTAGGGTAGTAAATGTGTCTGTAGACATAACTGCCCTTGGTTTCATGTGAAGATTGTCTTGATCTTTGTTACACTAAAGGATAATACTTCTGTATGAAACTGTGCTTCAGGCTACCTGTGAAGAGCATTAGAAAGCTTCAAAATAGTAAAGAATGATGTTGCCAGTTTTTTAGTTATCCACAGAGAAACACATGTGCCAGTAAATGAGGCTGAACAAATATGTATAATGTTTATTGTATTTATGTACAACATCAAAGTTAATCTGATGTGTTGAGATTTTTGGGGGAGGTAGTTGTTTAGCTGCATCGTCTTTAAGCACATAAATCACCTACTTTTTGATTTTCATATTATATGACAATTTCAGAAGTCTTTCTGGAAGCTTTGTAGTAAATCCTTATTTAAACCCATCTTGGATCCTTTCCTTACTAGAAATAAAATCTGACTGTGTTATTCCTTTGTTCAAAAATTATTTATTTTTATTTTTATGTTTGAGACAGGATCTTGCTCTGTGGCCCAGGGTGGAATGCAGTGGCAGAATCATGGCTCACTGTGGCCTCAACCTCCTGGGCAGGAGCGATCTATCCTTCTCCCTCAGTATCCTCAGTAGCTGGGCCCATGTGTATGTGCCACCACAGTTGACTAATTTTATTTTGTTTTTTGTAGAGACAGGGGCTCACTCTTTTGCCTAAGCTGGTCTCAAACTCCTGGGCACAAGTGATCCTCCCACCTCAGCCTCCGGAAGTGCTGGGATTACAGGTGTAAGCTGCCATGTCTGGCCAGTTAAACAAATTATTATCTCTCCTGCATCTGGAAGAATATTTCCAACTTTGGTTTCATGGGTATTTTAGAATCGTATGTAAAAATAGTGGATGTTTATAGTTTTCTGTGGAGCCAGTGCACAGGTGTCCTCAGTGTTATGAGGATTAAATAGTTATTACAAGTAAATCATCTAGGCAAGTATTTGGCATACAGTAAGTCCTCAGAAAGTGTTGACTATTATTGTGCGTGGCTTTCTCTTTGCTAAATTAAAAGTCCCTGGAGAGGAGGAATTATAATGGAGGAATGGTTGAATTGCATATATTAGGCACTAAATATAGTAGTCCCTCCTTATCTGAGGTTTTGATTTCTGCTGTTTCAGTTACCCGTGATCAACCATAGTCTGAAAATATTAAGCAGAAAATTCCAACCAGGTGTGGTGGCTCATGCCTGTAATCCTGGCACTCTGGGAGGCTGATGCAGGTGGATCACTTGAGGTCAGGAGTTCAAGACAAGCCTGGCCAACATGAGGAAACCCTGTATCTACTAAAAATACAAAAAGTAGCCACGCGTGGTGGTGCATGCCTGTAGTCACAGCTACTCATGAGGCCGAGGCAGGAGAATCAATTGAACCTGGGAGGTGGAGGCTGCATTGAGCTGAGATTACACCACTGCACCACAACCTGGGCAACAGAGCGAGACTCCATCTCAAAAAAAAAAAAAAAAAAAAAAAAAAAAGAAAAAAAAAGAGAAGAAAAAATATTCCAGAAACAATTCATAAATTTTAAATGGTATGCCTTTCTGAGTTGTGATGAAGTATCATTCCATCCCACTCCATCCAGCCTGGGGCCATGAATCATCTTTTCTCTTTGTTCAGCATATCCCTGCTATATAAACTTCCTGCCTATTAGTTGCTTGGTTATCAGATTGATGGAGGTGGTATCATAGTGCATGTGTTCTAGTAATACTTATTTTACTTAATTATTGCTTCAAAGCACAATAGTAATGATGCTAGCAATTTGGTTATGCCGAAGAGTAGCTGTAAAGTGCCTCTTTTAAGTGAAAAAGTGAAAGTTCTCTACTTCATAAGGAAGAAAAAAATATAATATGCTGGTGTTGCTAAGATCTATGGTAAGAACAAATCTAGCTGTAAAATTGTGAATAAGCAAAAAGAAATGTATGCTAGTTTTGCTGTCACACCTCAAACTGCCAAACTTACACCCAGAGTATTTGATGAAAGCTTAGTTAAGATAAAAAAGAAATTAAATTTCTGGGTAGATGTGAACAGAAACATGCTCAGATTGAAGGCAGTTTAGTTCACCCTCCCTGGGGGTCCGCCTTGGGATGTACACCCTTAGATAAGGAGAGTGCTGCTATAAAAGCCTTTAGTATTAAATTGGTATTGCATTTATACCACCAGACCACTTTCTCCCCATTTTTTCTTCTTACTTTGTTTCTAGTGTTAATGATAGGGTTAATTTACATTACCTACCTTTTTTCATTCACTGTTATTCACATATGTTGAAAGACAATTGTTCTGCTTTTTTTTCCTCTGGTTTTTCATGTTCCAGAGTTTGTCCTTTTTTTTCTTCTCTCTCATTTTTATTCTCTTTCTACATGGCTTTTCAATTCGGAGTGAAATGTACTTGAGGACCAAAGTTAATACAGTTTTATTGTGTTAGGGATTTTTGTTAATCATAGATTTTCAGCTGCTCTTGTCACACACAAAAATATAATGCAGACGATAGGTGTTAATCTCCTTCACTAAAGTAACCATTTTACTATCTATATGTATCCTATAAAATCAAGTTGTAAACCTCAAACCCAATATCATTTTTTAAAAAGAATTTTCACCAAAAAAGACGTTTCTATTTAATCTATGTATTATTTCTTTTACCTTAAGAAATGCTTCTCTTAACCTTTCTCCATTTTCAACCCCATTTATTTGCTCTTCTCTGCAATGAAAATCCTCTAAAGGGTTTTCTGTGCTCCATGTCCCACGTCCTCTTTTTCTACCTCTGCATCTTCATTTGTGTATTAAAAAGATATCTTGAACTCAGATGTCCCAGAATGAACTCCTTTGCTCCCAAAGCTGTCCCATTGTTTCTCCTCTGAATTGATGGCAACTTCATACAGCCAGTTGCTCAGTTGAATCTTTGGAGTCATCCTTGACTCCTTACTTTCCCTTGTATTCCAACAAATCCTGTTGGCTTTTTCTATGAAATATATTTAGAATTCAACAGTTTTCTACTATTTCTGTTACTAGTATATTGGTCATCTCTTGCTTGGATTTTTGTCATTATCCACTATGATTTCATGCTTGGATTATAGTAATTGTATTCTGTTCTCTCTGCTTATTTCAGTCCTTTCCTTCTATTCTCATATGCCAGCCAGAGTGATACTCTATTCTCA